AGTCACGACTGGACCTAATGGTCAGGGGTCCCTTTACCCTTTACAGACATGTTTGCCATTCCTTCCGTCTGCACTTCAAGTGTCCAAGTGCTCAGGCCAAAGCCCTGGACCACCCCCTGATTAGGGAAGGGGAAACTGATCTATACACTGTCTGGCATTAGTTCCCCAAAGTCAACTTTAGCAAATTTCCCCAGGATGCCTACCTACCCAAGTAGGGTGGCCGTGTGTCATACATGGCAGAGGACAGTTCTCTCTTTGAAGGGAAGTCCAATTTTAAAAAATGCTAACCCAGTGAAGGGAGACCAGGGACTTTGAAGCTGCCTATCAACAGATAAGACTGCAGACCCATGGGTCTGCTGGCCAGAGTCTTCCCCACTGTGGTGACATACACCATATTCCTATTCAACTTGTAGTTAAGTATATTAAAATATTTCTAAATTTTCACCTATATAACTTGGCAGATGCAAATGCCATCCAGGCCCTCTTTTGGTGAGGTCTTAAGTGGCCGTTCTCCCCCAAATCCTTTCAAGATGGAGATTCTGGGACCTTCTGCTTGAGAAACATTTGCTCTCTAACCCACTAAATTATGAGCCTTCCAGTAATATTTTTGACATTCCACCCATAACTTCCTTCAATGCTTGCCTGTCTCCAGCCTAAGGACTCTAGGATTAAAATAATTGATGTCATTGTGTCTACCAAAGAAGAAAACTGCAGCCTTTGGAAAACACAGAATGGTGTGTCTGCCGGAATCCTCCCTCCTCCCTCACCTTGCAAACATACAGGAAAGTGTCTTCTAAGGGCTGTGAAAACCTCTTTAAAGAATGTTAGACGATACCCATAGGTCTTAACTTCTCACCTTTTCGGTGGTTGCGTGCTCACTCGAAGTGGGAAAATGTGTGTGGGTGGCTTTAAGGTGCAGCTTGGGCCAAGGTGGCTGGAAGAGGAAGAGAGAGAAAAGGCTGCAAGGCAAATTCTCAAGGATGGCGAGAAGACACGAAGTGGCAGGAGAGGGGGGTAGTTGTCTTCAGCTGCTCACAGAAACTCACTACAAGCTGAGTTAGCAGTTAAACTAACCTTATTTCTGATGAGGCCGGGGAACCTGCATAGAACAGTAACCAACCACTCCAGCCAAGCCGCACCTCTGCTGCAACCTTTCTTAATGCTCATTCGTGATTGTTTGTGCTCAGGATGCTTGCAGGGCAGTTACACGCAATCCCAATTTCAATATTTCATACCCTCCAATGCCCCAATTTTGCTGGGATGGTCCTGGAATTCCTTCTGACTTGATTATGGAATGTCCTGGTGCTCCCTGCCAGCAGACGGGGCCCGTGGAAACAGTGGCATAGCAGGGATGGGGGCGGCCCCAGGAGCATTTTTTGGGAATGAGTGTGACCAGCCGTCCCCATAACAGGCTCCCTCATTGGAGCCTGGCTCCAGCATGCAGCTATAGCAGGCTTCCTCAAACTTGGCCCTCCAGATGTTTTTGGCCTACAACTCCCATGATCCCTAGCTAGTAGGACCAGTAGTCAAGGATGATGGGAATTGTAGTCTCAAAACATCTGGAGGGCAGAGTTTGAGGAAGCCTGAGCTATAGCTCCGCTCCCAGGTCAGGCGGAAAGGAGGAGAGTCTGTGGAAAGGAGGAGAGTCTGTAAATGTTGCTGCCCCTCTCCTCCACTGGGCTGTGGCGTGTGAGTGTGCCCACACACTGCTCTCCCTGTGCCGTGCCTTCTTGGGACAGTGGCAACTGGGTGCTGCTAAGTTGTCTCCGCTTCGAAGCATCTCAAGTGACTTTTGTACACCGATTGCATCTTCCGGTTCAGGAAGACGTGCTCCAAACCATGTGGTGCCTCCCCCTTTATTACCTTGGTGGAAAAAGAAACCAAAACATACAGAGCCACGGGTACTGAAAAAAGCACTTTGTATTAAAAAATAAATCCATCACTTTACACTGTAGATAACACTTTTTGAAAACAAACACACTCGGAATACTTGACAGCAGGTTCCCATTATTCTTCGACTGGAATGAAAGAACTCCAGAACAAGTGCAGAGACCTATTTTCGAAGCAGAAACATGCCAGCGTGCTGTCATCAGAGCGACAGCCATGAGCGACGAGTAGTCAGAAGCAGCAATGTTAATGCTGAGGCACATTCGCGGCCCTCCAAGGTAAGGCAATGACATTCTCAGCTTCTATGGAGGGTTTCCTATCACAAGGCAACAGTGGCTTCCTTCTGCCATTTCTCAACAGAGGCAAGAGCAACTCCCAAGGAAGGTTCACAAGCAAGGATACGAAGGGCTCCCCTTACCCCCACCCGAACCTGCTGGGAAATTGCTAGTCTTTTACCAACGCTTATTGCTGTCCTCAAAATCCCTTCCATGTTTCCCCCTTGAGAGACCCATTAGGCAGGAGCAGCAGCAACAATGGTGGCAACACAGGGATGTTTGGAACCTTCCTCACTGGGAAATTTGGCTAGTCATCAAATTTCTTTCAGCTCCTTCAAAATTAACCTGCCATTTTTGCCCCAGCAAAAGCCTCCACATTTATCTCAAAATAAGACGTTAGTTAAAACTGAACGGTACACCCTTAATTTCAGAATGTTTTCTGATGACTTCTTTTCACCAAATCCAGAATGTGGATTTGCCAACACCAGAGTTTACTACGGGTTCGCGGCTGTTTATGTTCCCGTTTAATTTGTGTAGTCCCCAGGACGTTACAACTATTTCAGTGCTTTCCCCTTGCAAATCCAGGTTTACCCAATACAGGGATAATCCAATAAATTGGGGTGAAGCCAGGCTCCAAACTGCTACACTCAGGGGTTGCAAACAGTTTGTCCCTGTGTTTTTGGGTGAGTGGAGTAGCTGTCCCTCTCCATGCCCCCTGATCCTAAATGTTTTGTTTCCTTTCCCCTTATTTATAAAAAATATTTAAATTCATAAAAAAAACACAAAAAATAAAAGATTATAAAAATTTCACAGCAGTTTACATTTATACATAAAATCATACAATAAAAAGACATAAAATGTTAAAATCAGAAATCAGCTAGCGCATATTCTTAATTGCCTGCATAAGCCTGATAGAATGGGAAAGTTTTCAGCAGGCATTTAAAAGTTGAAACAGAAGCTGCTTGCTGAATCTCTGCTGGCAGAATATTCCAGAAAACAGGGCCAATGACCCTAAAGGCTTGGTTTCTTCTTGTCAAATAAGCCCCGCCAACTTGGGGAATCATAGAATTGCAGAGTTGGAAGGGACCCCAGGGGTCATGTAGTCCAACCCCCTGAAATGCGGGAATTTCAACCAAAGCATCCATGAAAAATGGCCATCCAAAACGCTGCTTAAAAGCCTCAAAGGGAGGGCAGCCCACCACCTATTGTGGGAGTCAGTTCCATGGTCAAACAGCTGTTACTGTCAGAAACTTCTTCCTGATGTTTAGTCAGAATCTTTTTTCTTGTAACTTGAAGCCATTGGTTTAGGTCCTGCACTTCAGAGCAGGAGACAAGCTTGCTCCATCTTCCATGTGATAGTCCTTTAGATACTTGAAGACAGCTATCCTATCTTCTCTCAGTCTCTTTCCCAGGCTAAACATACCCAATTCCCTCAACCATTCCTCATAAGGCTTGGTTTCCAGACCCTTGTTCATCTTGGTTGACTTCCTCTGCACAGGTCCTTAGCTCTGCCTACTGACCCTGTTAAGAGGTGGGGCCAGAACTAGGGGTGGGAGATAAATTATATTAAGTTCACCTTTAAAGGTGATTCTACCTATCTCACCATTTCTGAAACAATTCACATGCTGAACTTCTTTGAATTTTGCAGTGAAGTTCTCAAACCAAGTAACAGGTACCAAAATACATCTACAGTAGCAAGGTGTGCACATATGTATGCGTTGTGCAAGAAAATAAATGCATTATCTTAGGGGAAATCGCATTGCGAAAATTACATGCAAATACCGTATTTACTCGAATCTAATGCTCACCTTTTTTGGCCAAATTACGTTGCGAAAATTAAGGTGCATATTAGACTTGATGGCACATTTACATTCGCCAGCAAATACTCTTTTTGTTTCAAGGTTCTGAAAATTGAGGTGCGCATTAGATTCGATGGCTGTTGTGGAAATATTGAACACATGACTGGAAAAAATAAGAAGCTGAGAGAAACTGAAATTTGGTAGATTCACCCATCTGTAGTCAGTACTGTCTGAAGTTGCAAGCTGGCAACTCTAAATATGCAGGACTAGTGATTTGTCCAGGAACAGAGGTGCCCCTGAAGGATAATGACATGTGAACTGAAAGACAGGGAGGAAGAGGGAGTGTGTGTGTGTGTGTGTGTGTGTGTGTGTGTTCTCTCTTTTACACACACATACAACAAGAGAGAGAGAGAGCAAGAGAGAGATGGAAATAGCACAGATTGCCCTTAAGGCATATATAAAAAGGCTCACCAGTGTGACAAGAACAAAAGACCACTTTTACATCTTTGGTACTGACAGGATACAACTAAAGTCACACCTCTGCTACAAACAAGCTGGTTGAACGGCTCCTCTACCAAGGACCACCACAAACTGCAGCAACTGAGAACTCGCCCTATAAAAAAATATAACTCACTGAGGTCAGGGCTCAATCTTAGCCCAATAACTGTGGGCTTATCCACATCTACCTTTCCTCCATTCTTTCCAGACATCACCTGCTCCCTGTCTGATCGCCCCTTTTTGGTTTTGCTCTAGACCAGGGGTAACCTAAGGCCCGGGGGCCGGATGCGGCCCAATCGCCTTCCCAATGTGGCCCTGGGAATCAGCCTGTTTTTACATGAGTAGAACGTGTGCTTTTATTTAAAATGCATCTCTGGGTTATTTGTGGGGCCTGCCTGGTGTTTTTACATGAGTAGAATGTGTGTTTTTATTTAAAATGCATCTCTGGGTTATTTGTGGGGCATAAGAATTCGTTCATTATTTTTTTTCAAAATATAGTCCAGCCCCCCACATTTTCTGAGGGATGGTGGACCGACCCATGGCTGAAAAAGGTTGCTGACCCCTGCTCTTGACCTTTTCCACTGAAAACCTGCTCTTTAAAGCTCAATCAGAGCAAACAGCCACCCACAGAAAACCCCAATTGATGTTTGCGCTAGGCAACTCGCCCCCACCCCCTGGCAAATGTTTGGGCATGGAGCTTTTAAGTGCAGACCTGCGCCTGGAAGGAACAGGGAGAAAGGTAAGTGTAGATAAGCCCTCTTTTTCATTGCCAAGGCGCCAAGGGAAGAATGTGGGTTGGACTACTTTAGGAGGCCTGCCTTTGGGAAGGGAATCAATGGACTGAATGCTCTCTGACAAAAGAAGCTCCCCACTCCCCTCAGGAAAACAGCATGCTAGGGAGATGGCCTGCAGTCTAGCCTTGTTTCTGGCGTGCTGCTTTTCCAAATGCAAGGCGCTATTTTGCATCCCTAGGGTGAACCAATCAAGCATGCAGTTCCCACAGGTGGGGTCTATAGCTCCATGCTTTGCAAATGGATGGTTCCAGGTTCAGTCCCCAGCCTCTCCAGCTTAAAAAAAAAAAGAGGAGAAGGAGGATCAGATGATATAAAGGACTCTCCACCGCCTAAATCTTTACAATAATGGGCCAGGAGGACAATCAGAGGCAGCTTCCTTCACTCACAACATGAGGTGGAAAAGCTACTTTCTTAGTTCGCTCTGCAGATTATATAAACTGGCCTGAGGTCTCGGAATAATTGATAAATGAACAAAAAGCACCTGAGCCTTCACAAACCACAGGTCCAGCCATCTCCAAGCACCAAATGCTGGAAACTAAGCCCCGACACCCTTTCTTCACTCTCCGCTATTGTTGTTGTTTTCAGAAATTAAGCACTGTTGGGGGCAGCCATCTTAGTTTCCGGTCTGCGTTAACTGTGAGCCTAACCCAGGGCTGGGTCACCAAAGGACCTTTCAGACACTGTGGGATTCCCAGTGCTCATCAGCCTTAGAGAGCATGGCCAATATTTCTCTATTTTTATTTAAGACATCTATATACCGCTTAATTTTTCACGTTTCTGAGGGGTGCTAAGGGTGATATGAGTTGTAGCCCAGTAACATCCGGGCTTGGGGCCTACAGATTCCTCACCTCTGGCCGAACCTTTTTTACAGCTGGTACAGAAAAATGTCAACGAAATCTCTCCACGTGTTTTTTTTTAAGGGTTTTAAAAATCTGACTACACTACAAATGTAAACATCTTAAACTCCCCACGTTCCTGGACAAGGAACCCTGAAGACTGTAGATCCATGGAGTCAAGGAAATACCCACAAGTTATAATTCCCCACCCCCACCCCCCAGGTTGTTTGGTAGAAATCACACAATACTCGAACTTGGTTTTGGACTGGTTTTAGGTTACGGTGCACGAGTCTCCCCAGAAACTGATGGGAGAAGTTCTGCTCTCATTTCAGTCCCATTCTGTGCTCGCCACGGACTATGTGGGAGGAGAACTCGTATTTGTCATGGCTCCGGTGGCCACACAAATTACACTCAAAAGGGTCACGGAAGCCGTGGCATCCCATGTGGATGGTGAACATCACGTAATCCAGGAAGAGGACGCGGCAGTGGTCACATCGGTAGACCCCAATGGGTTCGCCTTCCTTGTTGAAGACTTTCAAGACGTCACGAGGACAAACGACGGGTGGCCTGAAGATCTCGTAGGACCTGGGGTGCTCCTTGTAGACCAGGAGCCCATTACGGGCCTGCAGAGGAGGAGGAGCAGCTTGGTTCTGGTGGTAGGCAAGGCTCTGGTGCTCCTCTTGGTTGCTGTCTGAGTCTGTGGAATCTTGGCCGCTGTTGTTTGGAGAAAGGCCTCTGTCGGAAGACATAGCCTTGTCTCTCAGCTGGGCATGGCTCTTTTCCACCTCCTGAGGGTTGCCGTTGGGCACTTCAGAGCGGGTGAGCGCCAGGGGGTACAGGCTGCTGATCACGGGCACCATCTCCGAGGTCGGGGGTGCCGGGTTCTGCACAAGCGGGCGCAGGGATTCTGCGCCAAGGTAGCCCATGGAATTGTTGATGGCTTGTTGGTCCAGCAGGCATCCCTGCAACATGGCCTCCCTCTCCTTCTCGTACACAAAGCTGGGGTTGTAATTCACTTCAAAGCTGGAGCGTTTCTCACCTGTGGGACAGAAGGATGCATGAGGACGTTACAGGGTAAAGTTCTAAAACCGCCTTACATTTATACCGTGGCAGCATGAAAATACTTTTATAAATAAATACATTTTGCGTACAAAAGCATCTCTGTGCCACCATGTTCTAAAATATCGGGGCAGTGCACAACATCACAATATAAGATACTATTAAAAACAATACATGGGGTATTGAGGCCCCACACCCCTGTTAGGAATTCTACTCTGCCTCGGCCTCTCCTGTTCCTCTCGCTAGCATTCCCTGAACACTTTCAGGTCTAGCTTAAGGATTGTTTTATTATTTATTTATTGAATTTATATACCGCCCTATACCTGGAGGTCTCAGGGCGGTTCACGAAAAAGATCACAATATATAAAACCAAAATAAGAACAATATCCCAATAACACCCCACCCCAAAAAAGAGCCGCATTTTAAAATGGTCTAGGATGCCCATCAGGTCAACCAAAGGCCTGGTTAAAAAGGAATGTTTTTGCTTGGCACCTAAAGGTGTATAATGAAGGCACCAGGCGAACTTCTCTGGGGAGAGCATTCCACAGACGGGGAGCCACTGCAGAGAAGGCCCTGTTCTCGTGTTGCCACCCTCCGGACCTCACATGGAGGAGGCACATGAAGAAGGGCCTCAGAAGATGATCACAGGGTCTGCGTAGGTTCATGTGGAAAGAGGCAGTCCTTGAGGTATTGCGGTCCTGAAACCTGCCTTTTTTAAATAGGACAAAAAAGAAGCTGACATTCTCCAGCAGCTGAATTCTGCAGCCAGTACTGATTTCTGCATATCTCTGCTACAGTTATAGTATCATAGGATCCATCCAGCCTTGGCCATAAGGCAATGGAATTCTGCTGCCACAAGCAACATTTTCACACACAGCAGGCAATGGCGTTTTTCATATTAAAATCCTCTGTGCTAGAAGGATAGAAACTAGAATGTCAAACCCTTGAGATATTTATCACTGGCAGTACTATGACTCAAGGACCACGAAACTTGGCAGGCTGTTTCAGTGGATGGGTTTGAAACCAACCACTCACGTTTCTTTAGTAATGTGCTTGAGAACCCGCTGACAAGATTCTCTGTCAATCTTGTGATCCATCTGATAGATAAAAGGAATTTTAAAAAGAAAAAAGAAAAAATCCCCCACAGAATGACATTTGTCTATGACTCAGATGCCAGTTCTAGAAAAGATGAATCAAAGAAAATTAGCCCCGTTTCTCAAGGGATACTGAAAGTTTTCAGTTTCTTGTTTTGAACTCATGAATACAATTAACTAAGAAAATATCCAGCGTTAGGGCGGGCTCTGTGCAGGCAATGGGAAGGCTTATGAATATTTGGTATATTGCATTGCAAGCCCCGTGAAGTTACTGTGTGTCTCTGTACATTCTGCAGAGATAAACTTTTGGGGTTTTTGACTACATGCTATCTGATGCAGCTTCCCACAAAGCAATTAAGAAGTTGGCCGAAGGCCAAGAAGACTGAGCAGAGGGAGTTATTCTTCGTAGAGATATGGGACCTTGGATACAACTTTGCTATTGGTCAAGGTCTCCACATAGGCATGATGACTCATGGCACTCCTTGCTGGATAGTTGGTTGGTCAGTGTGTGTTCTGAGAGTCGTGTGGAGTTTGTTCAGTGAGAGAGTTGAGATCCGTGTCTGTATCCTGTATATAGTAACTTGTAAAGTCTGCTGTAAATAAGAAACACTTCTAAGTAACCAAGTTACTGGTAGCAGCGTCTTGCTCCTACTTCATCCTACCTGCCTGCAACTGATTGCTTCTGGAAGTCTGTGTATGCTCTGCTATATTCAACTGGGTCTGGCTAAGATCCTGCAACAGATTAAGGTTGCGAAACATCAATATAAACTGCATTCCTATATGAGAACTGCTAGTGCAGTCGTTGCAACTCAGTTTCAGGGATGGCGAGAAGATGCTGCCATTACTACAATAGTGTTCTCATGGCTGTGCTTTACCTTTGGCACTTACAGAAGGTGCCACTGGGGTGGGGAGCTATCCCTGCCTTTGGTCATCCCAGCCATTAAGATCCAAACCTTCTCCAATTCGCATGGCTCCCTCTCTTCATCTGCACAGTCCTGTCTTGGCCATTGCTTTTTCTTGGTACCATTTGAGGACGAGAGAATGTTGGGAATGCTGACTTTTTCTGTAAGATTGGATCCACAGTTCAAAACATCTTGATGCTTTTTAGCATTCTCTCTTAGAGGAAGCTTAAAACATTCTGTTCACCACACAACGAAGGCAGTTTGTCCTATCCGTGTGAAACTTTCATGGTGAAATTACATGGTGAATTGGTATTTCTGGCCACAGTTCGGTGAAGAATGGCTAAGTTGCAATAGTTCAACTATTTGCCTTGAAAAAATATATGCCTTGAAAAAATATATGCTATGTTTCTCCTTCTGGCTGTGGAAAAATGTATGTTTTGCATTTTAAAATGGACCTTACAACACATGTTTAGAATGGAGAAATATTAGGATTACCAACCATAAAGTATTTTATTTACCCAACCAGTAAATTTGCATTCTACTAGATAACCACTATTGTGTTTGAGGGGGGAAAGGAAAGTCTAGATTCCACCATGCTTTGCATATGACTCACTAGCCCTATCCTGGTTTGCTGTATTCCTCCAAGCACTGCACTGGCTTTGATACCGCTCAGCAGAATCAGTAATTCTGAATTACAACTTTGTAATGCTAAGGTGCTCTTGGATTCCTGCTTGATCCAAAATTCAGGGGTAGCTCCCCTCCCCCTTACATTTAGCTTCGCTCTCTGGATATTCCAGATGAGTACTCCTCCTCTTGTGAGTTAACACTAGGCCGAAGCCGAAGGGGGGGGAAGCTTTCAAAAGCTCTAAAAACACCTCCTGTTTGGGGGTTAGCACTGTGAGAAGGGGAAAAAAGTGTTTGTGGAGTAGGGGTAGTCAGAAAAGGTTCACCTTTGGTATATAAGCAGAAACCTGGTAGGGAAAGAGATAGCAGAGGGTGAAATATTTCCACCCTGTGGCAAACCCCAAACCGGAAATGTTTGAGTCACTAAGTAAAAAATAGGACATATAGGAATTATGGTTTCCACCTGCTCATTTGTACCCAATCTGATCCACTTAATCGCACAGTGGCAGCTGCAGACACTCAAGGGTATTAATCACAGGTGGCAAACCACAAAGTGACCCAGAAAACACTGGTGCAATTTCAACTGCGATCAAGAACATGGAATTAAAAGAAACAACAACCCACAATGCGCACGCTTATGACATTGTTTTGGGCGGGTGTAGAGTTGTGGGTGTCATTTCAGCGATTACACCCTCTCAATTAATGCTTTTATTTGACCTGGCCTTGTTCTATGAAGCTCATTGCCCTCCCTTGTTTCCCAACCAGGGACTGTGGGGCTTGAGCAGAGAACTGTGGCCTACTCTCCACATCCAGCAGGGTGAGGGGCAGGAGTGAGAAAACCTGACAACCTCGGTTCCTCACATTTGCTCGTTTTCCCAGCCTTAAGTTCAATTCTCCACACTTCCACATCTGTTTGCAATTCCTTCAAAAGTCCTGAAAATTCACCAACTTCTTAGTGCAATTTTCTCCTAATATGCACATTTCTGCAAAGCAATTTCTCTTCCTTTACATAATGCGCTTGCATCCTATTTTCACTAATACAGGCATTTCTATGCACGCTTTGCCCCGGTACATGCATTTTTGCACACATTACTTGGCTGCAGAACTGCATTGCAAAATTCAGCAAAGTGTACATTTTTGAAGGGATGGCTGTGTTTGCGCGTTTGTTTCAGAAAGTGCAACTTAGACAGGCTCCCTTTAAATGGAAATTGGATTGTATTTCTCTCCCATCCTGAGGTGCTACCATGGCCTGTACCTCTTCAGAACTGCAGGTAGGAATGCCATTCTCCCTCAATATGTAACTTCATTTGCGTAAACTAACACAATAAAGAGAAAGTTGTGAGATCAGTCCAGCCTGCTTCTTCCAGTCCTAGTTTCTACTTGCAGAAAGTGGTCCCCCATTTGAAAATATGGTCCCTTGCCTCCCTGGTGCTGTCTAAGATGGTACAGTCCATTTTAGTACCTCGGGGCTTTACTATTTCAAAGATGACAGTAACAACATTACACCACTTGCTGCTCTGTCGTTCCCTGGCTGGAAGGCAGGGCAACACACAGAGTAATGATGTCACCTCTCTCCTCTCAATATCTAGTTAAGCTCCGAGTCAGAAGATGGTGAAATGGACTGTATGACTTGGGAGAGGTGCATGTGGGTGGATGCTAAACAAGCTATAGCTTAGGGCCCCACTCTCTTGGGGCTCCCCCCACAAAATATACTTCTTAATTGTATTTCACTATTAATGTCCTTCTTGTTAGTTGTATTTCAGTTCAACAATTACTTTGATTATATACATATTTTGTTATGTGCAAATGGACCTATTAGGTCCATAAATTACCGCATAGCATATATTCAACATGAAAAACAGAGACAATTTGTTGTTGACAAAGGACAGCTGGACATATAAAGGGCCCCATTACCTTCAGTAGCTTAGGGCCTCATCAAACCTAAATCCGGCCCTGGGTGTGACATTTTTAAATGCTTCTGTAAGGGACGCAGAATCCTCCTAAGCAGAGGACTAGCAGAGCAGGAAATGAGTACTGCTAAAATGGTTCTCCGTATTTTAGCACGAGAACATACCCTGCCATCTGAAGATGCACAGCCTACCACCTCTTTCATATTGATTCAAGACTCTTTGGCTCCTTATGCCCACCATGCTTTGCTGTGAGTGTAGACCAGGCCCAAGTTCTACACCAGATAATCACCTCAGTTTCCCCCAGAGAAGAAGCGCAGGACCCAGAAACAGTTATCCATTAATATTATTGTCCGGTTCCTGGTATCTAACCCTCTGCTACTTGAGTTAATGCCTATGTCTGTGTTCCCCAACCCCGTGCCTTCCAGAAATTTTGACTACAGCTCCCACCAG